ATGTCCACGTGCTGCCAAAACATATCCTGGATGCCGACCAGCCAAGCCTTGGACCTTTCCTGGACTTCGCTTTTCGACAGAGTCCACCTTGCATCAGCTCTCGGGCCCTTTGCCATCATCTGCGACATCCAGCAAAGGCAAGCGAACGTCGAGACGCTGAAGTCGCTGGCCTCGAGATCTTCCTCGCCCTCGGCCGGCTCCATGACCACGTCCTCGTCCGCCCCGCACTCCTCCTTGACCTCGGCTTTCACATCCGGGTCCGGCTCTTTCTCGGGCTTGGTGCTCTGCTTTCGTTTGACCCCAGCGATCCGCTTCATCATGCTCGATGCAGTCACGTGCTTCTCTGCACTGGGCAGCTTGACATCCGCATTGTCGTGGGCTTCCTGCCGGCCGTCCTCGCTTGCCTCCTCCTTAACCGCCTCGTCGGCCTCGTCGGAACTCAAGCCATCGCCCAGCACGGATGTCGTGCGAGAGACCACAGTGTCCCGCATCTTGCCAGCGAAATTGACTATGTTATTTCCGCCCAAGAAATCTACTATCCATCGAACGACCCAAAAGAAATATCCAGGAAACGAGAGGCCATCTTCTGCCAGGACCGGCTCCCGAAACTCGTAAACCTCGCCCCTGTACTGACCCTTCGCACCGCAGGGCAACACGATCGCTCGAACGTCCCTAGCTCCGACGACCCTGTCCGCCATGCTTCTGGAGAGAACTCTCTTAAAAACGCCGTCACCTTAGTCTACGTCTTCACATACTGGCATCATAGCATACTGCTCTGTCACAGGACCACAAATACTAGCCTAGTTGCTTGGAATGCCCACTCCTCGGCCTGTGTTGCCTGTTGCTGTTCTGGTGTCGACAAGCTGCCGGCTGCAAAAGGAAAGGGTGCACGACACAGGCAGACCGAGAGGCAACGAAGACCCAAGCAGGAGCCGAGCACCGTGCATCCGCACAGGAAGCCCACCTGGCACGGAGGAGGGGAGGTTTTGCCTAGGATAAAGGCAAACCGCAGGAAACCATTGCAAAAACCTTGGGAAAAAGCTGAAAAACACTTGAAACGCACCTGAAAAACGCTGAAACGCACTCCCGCCCTTTAAAGGGTCTAGGCTGCTGACCGGGGACCCCTTTAACACAACAAACTGCCAAAGTTTACAACTAGTCCGAAAACAGTGCAAAAACCTTGGAAAAAAGCTGAAAAGCACCTGAAACGCACCTGAAAAAACCTGAAACGCACTCCCGTGCCCTAANNAAGGGTCGGATTTCCTTTTCAAGGCACGAACTCACCCCTTCTGCAGAAACTGCAACCCCGCCAAAATCGCCGTTGTGCCTCGGACAACGACAACGAACTACCACGTGAGACGAAGGACCTAAGCTCACTTGTTGTTGTTCTTCACGATGGTCCACTTCGCACGAGGATCGATTTGGCGAGCTGCCTCGAAGAGAGTCCGGCACGCGAACGACACCATGGGCTTCGCCTTCGAGTAGACCG